ACCTAAACTATTATTGCATTTCCAGTCACAGTCCACTGAAACAACCTTAGGTTGTAGATATCGTAATACTTTAAGACAGTATTAAAAAAGTAAGGCTGCAGAAAGATGCAGTCCTGATGATCTGTTATCCCCTTTCTTGTGCTGTTTGAACTGTTCATTGCACGCAAAATTGAATAAGAGATTTGAACTTAACTAAAAGTGGATCAATAAGGGCCAGAAGTCATCATGAGTTTCCTGATCCTGCAGTGTCAAAATTGGACACTTAGCACTAGAACGCATAACTACCTTACCCACACAGAAATCTGTAGGAAAACTTTTAAAATGTGTTTTCTTGGTTCATTTGCAAGTCTAAGAGTGATGTGTTCCATCTGCATTAAAATCCAAGTAAGGTGTAAGGGTTGAAAAGGCTCCAGGAACTCCATAGCCATGTCACTTTTCAGTAAAACAAGGAGGAGCTGTAATCAGATTTACCAGTAACAAGTAGAAACTGTAGCTGTCTGGCTATAGAAAGATTGAAAGCGTTGCTTAAGAAATCTTGAAGAAAAGCTCAGGAGATTTTAAGCACAGGAGCTGGCATGTAAGTATTTCAGCCTCTAATGAGTAACAGAGAAACAGAAAGACACAAAAACAGGGACATAAAGTTTCAACGGTTCCTCACGATAGTTCTAAAACCAGCAATTGTTAAGTGATTTATGATTATAACCATTAATGCGCATTCATTCACGCCGGCAATACTATTATGCCATAGTTTTATATATTCCCATCACAGCTAGATGTGAATTAGGAAAAAAGTCTTTATGTTGATTATATATGTACTGTCCTTTGCTTCTTTTGCTGCATTTTGCTCAAGAAACTCCTAACTCTTTTTGTAAATGTATTCAATTATTTGAGGACAGTTAGAAAAATCCAATTTGTTTGGTAGCTGGAGTTGTGACATTAAACAACTCAGCCATTCAGGTGTTTCAACCAATTTTCCTAGGTCTGTGACTATGATGTCATAGTCATGAAATGGTTTGCTAAGTGGCACAGATTTTGACACCAGCCTCACCCCACCTATACTATCTTGCACTATATATTACAGGTTACATATATAGCAGGCAATGAGAGAGTCAGATATCTGATTCAATAAAGCTAAGCTAAGAACATTCTTACAACATACAAAAAATTGTAGGAATGAGAGTAGAAACTATTTAGCTATCCACCCACACTGGAAAACATGTGCTATTTTATATATTTAGAGAGCAGTAGCAGATGTTCATAACTCTGAATTATTCTATGAGAAAGTCAGAATAGGTAAATATTTGCACATAGAAGTGTCTACAGTGTAGACATCATTATTCACCAAAAAAAAAAACCCAAAGGTTGGTTACAGCCAGGCTGATACAAAGAACAAGAGGCTTCCTTGACACCTCTGCCATCCCTCAGGCTGTAATGAAGTCACAAAGGAAGATAAGACCCATGCAGGCACAATCTTTGACTCACTAGAACTCTATCGATATGTGTCATTTTCAAAAAGAAGAGATGATATTCCTGAAGATTCAAAAATCTGTGTTTGTAGATAGGACTCATAATTAATAAGAATCCACTCTTCCTTTTGTAGCCTTAAAGTAGTTTCTGCCTCTCACAAGATCTACCCTTCCCCCTCCCCTCTAAAGGAGCAGAAGCTACTCTCTTTAAGAAGAGAATACTGAATCTGAAGCAGGGGGAAGGACTGATTCCTTCGGTGCATCCACAGTGTAAATGAAACATGATGACAAAGATTGCACAAGAAAAGTGGTAGATCCTTCTCCAGTTTGCAACATTGAGTCTTACTGCAGCTTAGCCAGGTTCCTTGATAATAAAATATATATAGACAAACAAATTTTAAAAGGCAACCAAGACGCAATAAAAACAAAGAATCCTTTTTTTCCCCCAGAAAGGCATTGTCTGACAAAATGAGGCTTAATTCTTGTCCTTTGGAGAGGCTAGTGTTTAGAATTTATTAAATTTTAATGATTGAGTTGTGGGGTTTTTTTAATATAATCAAGCTCAGGTTGCTATTAGCAATAGCAAACAAATTACAAGGGATGCTACTCATTTTCTAGTAGGAAACTTAACAACTGGCCAAACCAATTGTTCTTAAAGGTGTTCTTAAGGCACACCTCTAAGCTCTGGAGCATACAACAGAGGGCACAGCTCAGGAAGAACAGTGTCCACAAATTCTAATCTAAAATATGCAGAGTTTTCTGGTTCATTCCAGCTAAGAATTAAACAAGATTTTAAGAGCATATATGTAATTCCACCTTATTTCTTTTTAATTGGTTTATTTCTAGGCTTTTGTGTTTCTTTGTGCTAACCGGTGGTGTTCTCCTCTAGGCAGAAAAAAGGATAGCAAGAAGTATTTTGAATACAAGCACAAAATTCAGCTGAAAGTCTGCCTAGCCACTGCTTTTCAGCTAGTAGATTATGTATTTGACGTATCTTCATTCTAGCCTCTTTAGCCATGCTTTTTTCCAGATATTCTACTATAGGTCTGTTGAATTTATGAATGCTGTTTTCCAAATAGTAATAACTGAGAAGGCATTCAATCTGTTACATATTTGATTATCTATTACGAATCAGCAATGGAAATAGTATGACATTTCCGAGTTTTTTAATGCATCTTTATTGTCTGTATAATAAATAGTATTTTGTTTTAAAGAAACAACCAAAGTTGTCCTATTTGCAATTCTATAGATATTAAGGAAAATATAACCATTTTTTTTAAATAGTTGGTTTTGATTTTGGCAAATATGAAAGGATAAGAAAACCTGATAGAAACTTCAATCACATAATTAATTATTGATATGTTTAAACTTCAGAGCCAAAAAAAAATCCTAATTCTTGTATACAGGTATGTGTTTATAATAAAAACTATGTATTGAAAAAATTAATTTCCAAACCAACTCTTACTATACTGCTACAAGTAGTCATAATTCCTCCACCCCAGGCTAGATCATTGCTCATCCTGTACACTGAAGGACAATCACAGGTTGCAAAATATTGTTCATAATAAATAATTTCCATCAAAGTTTTCCCAAATAATTCCAACTACCTCTTTAATAGAAAAGAGGGTTTTGCCATGTTACTCAGTAGCTGTGTAGAAAGAAATGGCTTACTTCGGAAAAGTTAAGAAGCCCTACTTCGACATTTAGAGTGGGATT